CTGGTGACAAATTCTGCGTAGCAGCAGGTTACGATTTTCTCAGACCAGAAGGGCCTAAAATTGCCTGGACAACTTTAATTTGGAACTCCTGTGTCACACCGAATAATGCATTTATCCTTTGGTTAGGAGCTAAATTTAAACTACTAACAAAGGATAAATTGAATTACTTGGATATTGACCGAAGGTGTGTTTTCTGTGTATCTATCGATGAGACCGAGTAACATCCGTTTTTCTCCTGCCCAATCAGTTCTACAGTTTGGGGACTATCCAACATTGGTTGGGTTTTAGGCGTCTAATCTCTAATGTCTACCCTACCAAGTGCATTGAAGTGGATTAAGAAAGAGGCTAGAGGAACAACATGACAAAGCAAAATTAAGCAGATCGCTCTTGCTAGTATTGATTATCACTTATAGATGGCGCACAATAGGAGGATTTTTGAGGATATAAAACCTAATGCTGAAGGCATCATTCGAAGGATCAATACACACGTATACAAAGTCATGTTCTCCTTGTATCCGTATGTTTTGATTCAATTTGAGTCTGTGGCATTAGACAATTGATTTTTGTATTGTTCATCACTTTATGTTAGTTGTTTAGTAGTCTTCCTGGGTATGCCCGGTGTACTTGTTGTTTGATTTCATTTTTGCTTATTTGGGGATGTCCGGTGTACTTGTAATTGCTTAGACTTTTGTTTACCCAGGTATGTCTGGTGCACTTGTACAAGTTTTTTATCTATAGTAATTCACATTTATCGATAAAAAAAATTGATACTACAAAATTATCTTTTAGAGACGATATTAGAGCATCTCCAATATATTTCGTGAATTACAATTTATGTGGCATTTAAATAGATGAATTTTGATTCGACTTGGTGTTGATATCTAATGAATAGACAGTGAAAAATAAAATTGTTCTCTAATGAGTTCCATTTAAATTTCCATATTTCTACACATACGTGCCTAGGCGTGGGCGTGGGTTGGGTTGGGTCGGTTTTTGCCCCAACCCTAACCCAATCCAACATGGTCGGTTTGATAAAAAATCAAACCAAACCAAACCAACCCAATCAAGTGTCGGTCAGGTTGGGTCGGGTTGGTCGGTTTGAGCAAAAGTGTAATTTATTATCATATTATGTTAAAAAAAAAAAGACAACTCGTCATCCAAATAACTAAAATACAAATAATATTTAATATAGCATACAACTATCCAAATAAAAATTCACCCACATACAATTAATACAATCATCCATTGTCAAAAGAACTTGAAAATTAATACAGTGAACTTGAGAGTTGGGGCAATTGCATAATCAGTCATTCTCAGATTCTCAGCACTCAACAGTCAGTAGCAGTCTAGGAACATTGATGACAAAACAAAGTAAACCCATCTGGGACCTTAACTCAAATTCCCAGCAAGCCAGCAGCAGTAAGAACATCTCAGATTCCCAGCAAGTCAGCAACATTGTAATCTGGGACCCTTAACTCCAATGCCAGCAAGACAGCAACATTGATGGCAATAACAAAGCAAACATTTATCGTAATTAGATAGATCTATCTCTTATAAATAAACAATAATTCCCATTGCAGGTAATTTATGCATGAATAGGAAAACATCTCCCAGCAGCTTCTTGTTTCTACTTAATAAAAAATCCTAGGCTATGAATAAAACTGTCCAGTTGTAATTGACAAAGAACATTTTGAAGAAAAGTTATTACAGGCTTTTGAGTTGCTCGAGCTTTCATTTGCTGATGTCCATGAAATTACGAAATATTTCTCAAGGGAAAGGAATAAAATAATCTTTCCAAATTACCTATATAAAAATCCTCCTGGAGATCTTGCCTTTTGACGAATGTGAACCATCTTTATCTAGAATCTGTTTCAAAAGCTGGGATGCCATGTTTATTTAGAAATTAGAAGGCCGGGAAACCTCCAATACAAGCTTATTCATAAATTGGCATTTCCTGTCAAATCCCCAACCTGGTTTGCTTTTCAATGTTTGGTTTAACAAAAATCTAGATAATGAGAACTAAGAAAAGCAAACACTTAATGTGTCAAAAGAAAGTACCACTGTTTTACTATAGGACAAATAAATATGCTTTCCTTATTCATGCATAAATAAACAATATTCTACAAACAAGAATATGGATTACTTACATTTTTTGTCATGCAAAAGAGTGATTTTCACTACACAATCAGATTCAAAAACAGGATCCATCTCACCAAGTGTAAGAAACTTTGAGCAAAATATCCTTCAAAAATAGTTAGAGGTTTAGAGCATTTCAAATATGTAAACTCAATTCCCATTCATGCATAAATAAACAATATTCTACAAACAAGAATGGGGATTACTTACTTTTTTGTCATGCAAAATAGTGATTTTCACTATACAATCAGATTCAAAAACAGCATCTATCTCAGTATCTCACCAAGTGTAAGAAACTTTTAGCCAAAATATCCTTCAAACATAGTTAGAGGCTTAGAGCATTTCAAATATGTAAACTCAATTATAGTAATATATAGCAAAAGTATTCTGTGATATTAGAGCTCTGGAAGACTGGAACTTACATTCTTTAAGCTTGATAGTGTCTTTGCATTTTGTAACACATGATAAAGTCAAAAGCCATTGTTTGTTGAAGCAAAAGTTTTATGCACTAACCTGTTATCATAAAAAATTGTACAAGTCAGTTTTACAAAAATGGGAAAACTGATGGAAACATAATAATTATGAAATTATTCACCGATTTATATGCCTACCTGAAAAGTGAAATCTTGTAAAATGAATGATTCACTTAGTGTCGGGCTCTTGGTTATCTTCAGTTGATTTTGAATTTATTGAATCTAAAAGCTCATCCATTTGGTTGTAATGCTCAACATCTTCCATACAAAAACCATCCAAGTTCGGAGATGCTTTCAACCAATTTTGAGTGCATACTAAGAGCTCAACCATCTTAGTACTTAAGGAACTACGAAAAGGATCAAGTATTCTTCCTCTAGTACTAAATGCACTTTCTGAAGCAACAGTTGAAACTTGAATTGCCAAAACATCTTTGGCCAAATTGGACAACATACCATACTTATTTCTGTTAACCTTCCACCAATCTAGAACTTCAAAATCCTTGTTCTCTATGCTTTCATGAGCATCCAACAAGTATTGTTCCACATCATTTTTTATTTCAACCGAATCCTTCACCGCTTGTTTTTCCAGAAATCTATTGAGACGAGCATTACTCATAGAAGAAGAACTTCCTTTATATGTATTGATAGAACTTAAAGACTCCTCAGTTGATACTTTACTATTTCCATCAATACCTTCATGACCAACATACCACTCATAAATATCTATCAAATTGGTTTTCAAAGATTTCATCATATTACTAGCAACTTCTACATCCATATATAGATCATTTAAACAATATTCAACATAATCCATTTTGTATCTTGGATCGAGGATAGTAGCAAAAAGCAACACTTGATTCACATTTTCCATTTTACCCCAATACTTATCAAACTTCTTTTTCATGTTAGTCGCCATTTCAACCAAAAAAAAGTTTCCACTTAGTTTTCATTCATCCAATTTGATTACAAGATTACAAATTTCATGCAGATAAGCACAAGCACTAACATGCAATGAAGTACTAAAAACCAAAGTCACATTAAAGAAATTTTTAAGAAATTTAACAAACACAAATATACTTTCCCAATCTAAACTTGACGGAGGTCCACCCCTCCTCCTACTGCTATCATCTTCTCGAAAGTAATGTGAATACTGAGCATCCTCCTCCTCTAACCTATCAAAAGCTTTTTCAAATTTCAATGCCGCCTCCAACATCAAATAAGTAGAGTTCCACCTAGTTAGAACATCTAAAAACACAATAGACTTACAATCAATCTTCTCTTTCCTTGCACACTCCTTTAATTTTTCGTACCTAGAAGGAGAAGATTTCACATATTTGATTGCATTGCGAACATTCACAATGGAGTCATGTGCTTCCCTCAACCCTTCACCAACGATCAAATTGATAATGTGTGCACAACATCTCAAGGGTAAATACTTCCCATCTAGAACACATCCATCACTACCCCAAGAAACTACCTTTTGCCTAAGATAAGAAATGGCTGTGTCATTGGAGCTTGCATTATCAACAGTGATTGCAAAAATTTTCTCAATCCCCCAATCATGCAAACAAGTCTCAATCATTTTTCCAATAGTTTCTCCCCTATGATTTGAAATGACACAAAAATTCAAAATACGGTTATTAAGCGTCCAATCAGAATCAATGTAGTGTGCTGTAAGAGACATGTAATTAACATTCTAAATAGACGTCCAAGTATCAGTTGTAAGGGACATGTAATTAACATTCTGAATAGACGTCTAACTGATAAATGTCTCTAACTAGAGTCCTACGAGTTGGAGCCTGAAATTGAGGACATGGCACACTACAAAAGAGCCTAAAACCATGAGTTTCAACAAACCTAAAAGGTAGTTCATCCAAAACTATCATTTTAGCACATGCAACTCTACACTCCTCCTTGCTTCGACCAACAGTAATAAGATTGCTCCCTCCACCCTCTTTGTTCTCAAATGATAAGGATTTCTGCTTCTTATCCACCAATCTACCAGGATATTTCTTATATTTATTTGTCAAATGATTACTCAATGTACTAGTACCATACTTCTTAGTGCCACAAGCATAATCCACTCCACAATAATTATACTTACACCTAACATTTGGATCATCCCTTGAGCCTAATAGAGTGAAATGATCACAAACATAAGAAGATAATCTGTTAGTTTTTCGTTTACCCAATGTTGACGGAGCACGTGGAGGAAGACCAGATTGCAAATCGGTATCTTTTGATTGAGCCTGTGTGCCACACTCTTCTCGTACATCCATATCTACCAACATATCACAAAAATCATGAATACCCCAAAATACATCTATTAACTAACAATTATTAATGCACTACAAGGAAAATTATTGTACCTGAGTCCATTACTTAAGCACAATGCACGTTATTCTGACTGCAATTTCCAGAAGACTGAATAACAAGAGCATGTCTTCTGCAACCTTAGACACAACAACAACCAAAGAAGCAGTAAATCAAAAGTAACATATTAACAACAACCAAAGATAATACAGTATTCTAAAACTAAGGCAGTATTCTGCAAAGATATACAACCGAAGATAATACAATATTAGCAAATTAGAAAAGTTTTTAAAGATAACACAGTTCCATGTATTAGCAGTTGACGATAGCCTCATTGACAGAAAGTTGATTGAGAGACTCCTCAAAACTTCTTCTTATCAAGTTACTGTAGTGGATTCTGAAGCAAAGGCTCTAGAGTTTTTGGGATTGATTGAAGATGACAGTATTGATTCAAACTCAAATTCTACAACAAGAAATCGTCACAAAGTAGAAGTAAATTTGATTATTACAGACTTGTGATAATGTCATCAGAAAATGATCTATCAAAAATTAACAATTGCTTAGAGAAAGAAGCAGAAGACTTCTTTCTGAAGCCAGTTCAACAATCTGATGTTAATTAGCTTAGACCACATTTATTGTGAGGAAGATCTTGAATCAAACACTTTTCCATTTAGAAGATATGTTTTGCGGAGGAAATCAAGGGTACAAAATTCATATTTTCATTGGCTGAAGATGAATCAAGATTTCAAGGACTTGAAATTAGTCAAATGAAGAATATTAAGTAGCTTAAATTTGACTATTCTCTCTTTCCCTCGTAACCTAGTCATACATAGATATTACAGATTTATTCATTTCCAGGAGAAATTGCATTCTCATGATAATTTTGTATCAGTAAATAAACGAGAACATGATTCAATTTTTTCCCTTTTTAAAAAAAAAAAAGAAAAAGAAAAAATGATATAACCAAGGCTTGTGTTGTAAATCCACCTTCTGAATCTCATACACAAGGCAACAAATCTAGAATTGATTTTAGAACCCGGAGAAACACAGTTAACTCGTAAATGTACTCAAGGAGTCAAGGCAGCAACGACGTAAATCTACTCATAAATCTACTCAGATCTACACAGTTAACTCGTAAATCACTCATAAACACAGTTACACAACTTACACTGACAGCCTACATGTGGAGAACAGGAGAAAGTGTTCGAAAATGAAGAAATACACTTACCCTACGCGTGGACAACCTAGACAAAACGATGACTAGCAAGGTAGCAAGCCAGCATCTGGATCGGCGTCGGCAATTTGGGTCAGCGACGGGAAGAGCTAAGGTGACAGAGAAGTGAGGTTTGGTGATTCGGTCTGTAGTATGTTAATTATTTAGGGCTTTTTTCCATTTTCAGTTTTAAGTAGCGTTTGTTGTTTTTTTTTTTTCATTTTTTTTATTCGGTCGGGCCAAGTCGGGTCGGGTCAGTTTTGAGATGCCAACCCGCAACCTGACCCAACCCGAACCGATTGTTCAGAACATGGACCGAAAATCGCCCTTAAAAAATAAAAAACCGACCCAACCCGGTAGGTTCAGGTCGGGTCGATCGGGCTGGGTCAGTTTTTGCCCACCCCATGTCTAACATTAAAATAAAGATAATAAAATATTGTTAAAGAGAGAAAATCTAATATTCAAAAAAAAAAAATTAAATTAAATTAAATTGTTGAACAGCGTCCAGCAAGCACTCTACATCTAGATTTTTGTTCAACATTATCTCTCTCTTTTTTCTTTTTGCTTTTTCAGCTTGCATTGAAGAGTTTTATTTTAAACATTATCTATTTTTGCTTACGTGGTAATTTTTCAAACAATCGACGAGTTCCAACGGAGATGTTCTAAGAGACACTATTTTAACTAACTAACAATATTATAGAGATTCCTTTACGTTTAAAAAAACTATATTAACCTCCAATATTTCAACTTTTAAATTTCACATTGACGACCTTTAAGATTATTTTTTTAAATTTTTAATTCAACAATTTTTGGTGTCATGTTTTATTAATAGTAAGTATAGTCTTTGAAAGAGGCCATACCTGACCTCTAGCTAAAAGTATACAAAAAACTTACCTCATCTAGAGACAGACATGACATCGTCAAAGCTTAAGAATTACACTACATGCGACTTAACCATACTATTTGTGATCATATGTCAAGTATAGTATCTCTCAAGCTCGTGATCAATTATAGACTTGTTAAATTGAGGAGAATTGAGAAATATTTATTTTGGTACTCAAGTTTTGGATGTCCATAGTTTCCTGACATTCAAAACCATCTTCAATAAATTCCTTTGTCCTCGAGAAAGATGATGCCAATGTTCTAATATTCAATCCCATATTACTCAAATCATTGCCAATTAGTTGATCTAATGGATTTTTGTATACTTACTCAACAAGGCCATAGAATCATCCTTCTTGTGCCATTCAGATGCACCAAATCGTGAAACATCTTTATTCTTGCATTATTCATCGATTTGGATTACTAAGCTGGCTTCTAATTAACCATCGTAATTTTTAGTCAATCCATCGATAACACTTAACGAAGTTCCCCCAAATCACATTTAAATTGCGAGTTACGGTTGGGTCTATAACTTTTGAAATGGTGCAAAAACCCCTACTTGCCGCTTCAATAAGCAAGTGCCAAAGTTATATTATCACGTGAGGGAAGAAACTTAATGCTTCCAAAAATCACTTTTCTCCATACTCATTTTCAAATGCACATTTTTCTTTTAAAAAGAAGTTATTTTTCATATATTTTTCTATATTTTTATCATGCATTATTCAAAAAACACTGTTCAAAAAATCACTTTCACCAAAGCACTCAAATCGCTTATTCAATTAAATAATAATTGTAACATTCATTTCCAATTAATAAAAATAAATTAAAAAAACTATAATATATCCAAACGAAATGTGGATCTACCACAGAAGACTAATATATTTGCCATTAGTTGTGATGATCATCAACGCCAATACAATTACCAATTAATTACTTATTTTGCATGGAACATGATTGAAGAGGGAGGGGGGGGGGGGGGGGGGGAAAAAAAAAAAAAAAAAAAAAAAAAAAAACTATCAATTATAAATGAAACGTTTTGCAGTAAATGCTACTAAAGCTTCCGTAGAAAAAAAGGATAACATTTCTCTTCTGCACGTTCATGGAGTTTAGAAAAATCCAAACATCTTCCTATGTGTTGAGAGATCGATATATAAGAATCTACAAATTAAATTTTCATAAAATTCAACGAATGATCTCGAGAAGAAACAAGTAGTTTTAGTATTAAATATTCCGAACCCTTAATGCGTGCGGCTTTGGTCCTGTTTCCTACTAGTCCACACCTAACTAAGAATGGTTCAAAGATTCTCGCTTTGATACCTCTAATTGCAGCAATAGAAAATTCAGTACAAGTAATTTAAAAAAATGTATTACATGTTCCACAAGAGAGGTTCTGATTAACCAAGGTGCAACGCAATTGACCCGAATGCCATCTTTTGCCCATTCACAAGCCAAGTTCTTTGTAAGTTGATTTATTGCACCTGTGCATGGCAATTTTAGAGAATTTATAAATTTATCCGTTTCTTGTAGAAAAAATTCAAAGATCGACCATAGATTTTTATCAGAGTTAAAGATGTAGTTGTACCTACGTAAAATAAACTATATGATGCAAATCGTTAAGAGTAACTTGCCTTTAGTCACACTATAAACGGATGCACTACCTATGTTTACCAGACCACCCACAGAGGAAATGAAAACAATTCTTCCATTGCCCGAAGCTTTAAGAAGATTATAAGCAAGTTGGCATTGATGGTAAGGAGATTCCAAGTTTGTAGCCATTATATTGTTATATTCTTCGGTTGAATAATCAACGGCTGGCTTTGTGATGAATGTACCAACATTGTTTATCTATTCACACAAGATCAAAGATCAATCTCATTGGTTAAATAAATATGTAAACAATTTAAGCGTTTAGATGACGAACATATTAATGCATAATAGCAGGCAAAGATCATGATTTCAATTGCCATATCACCACTCGTATATAAATATTATATGCACTTTCATTGGAGTACTCACAAGAATGTCGAGCTTGCCATTGAAAATTGAGGAGACTTTATCCATGAGTTCTATTCTTTGGACTCTAGAAGAAGCATCACACACAGAACCAGTCACTTTGAATCCTTTGGAATTCCATTCTTTCAAACGTTGATTGAGCTGTTCTTCATTTCTTGAACATGTATGCACGATAGCATCCATTTTAGCAAGTTCTTCCACAATTGCGTGTCTGATGATCACATAATCGAGAATAGATTGTAAAACAACCCATAAGTATTTTCAAAAGAAAAATAGCGAAGAAAAGGTCAAAAACTTGGACTTTCCCTAATTTTATAGGCATCTTAGCAAATGATATTTGAACTTTAATTTGTCAATTTTGTCAATAAAAACCAACAGCAAGGATGATTGAATCCATATATATATAGACACACAAACAACAACTTAAAATAAATAGAATCTTGCTACATATATACTTTAATTTACACTTTGTTACGTGACATTACTCTTTTAGACAATTTAAATTTCAAACAATTTTTCATGAATAATGCTATTTGCAGTCGCCCTATGTAGCAGTTAATGATTTGTTACATAAAGAAATAAAAAATTACCATATTAATGTACCAAATAACTAACCGCCTATACCATATGAGGCGACTATGACAATGTGTTACTACAAATAGCATTACTTTTTTTTTTTCCATCTAATTCACACTTGCATGCCAAATAGTTAAAAAAATCAGTGTACTAAAAACAAAGTTCAAATAGATATTTTTCAAGCAAATAACTCAATCCGTAAAAAAATGATTGGCCAATTAAGCAGGAAAATCAGCATAACAGTTGGTTTGGATGTACAAAATCAATTTCAATGAGGAACGAAGTAATATTATAAAGAGACTAAATATTGACTCATTAATATTTATGAATAAAAATTTCATGGACGAACCAGAGAAAATAAGAAAAATACCCGATTCCACGAGTGCCACCGGTGACAAGAACGGTCATGCCGGAGAGGGACCATGTTGAACTGCTGCTATATGATACCTTTGTAGAAGTCATCATCGACTTTGAAGAAAAATTCTAGAGTTGAAGACCACCGCCGTTCATGGAGAAATCTAGATACTCCGGAGAATTCTACCACCGCCAATGGAAGGAATAATCCAGAGTTTGGCTGAACCAATTCCACCGACTTCCTGCCTCTATATAGTGTTATAGTGTACTGTATATGTGTGTGGGAAGAAAGTGAGAGAAACAGAGAGAAAGAGAGGCACAAAATGAGTGGTGTGTGTGAGATAAATCAAGTGAGTGGATCGATAGAGAAAAAATAGTTAGTGCTTCCATTAATTATCGTGAGAGTTGTGTACAGGGTACTTCATTTGTAAAAATATTTTTATTAATAATATATTCATATTTTTTTGGGGTTAACCAAACACAGAAAATGAGTGCAGCTTTTTGATGATTGAATTTAGAGAAACCATTGTTATTAATAACATGTTTATAAAGAGAGAATACAAGTTGAAGAAATGTTAAGTAAAATAATGACGGTGTTGAACGAATCCCTATATTTGATTTGAAAAACTCTGCACCTTGTGGGGGATCAACAGTATTTTGTAAATATATAATTATTTTGTATATATCAATTACTTCTTTATTTTTCAATTGTTCGAGGATTTCTTCTGCAATCGTATGCTTGTCACATTTCGTGAATAGTCAAGGCATTGAAGAATATTCAGAAAGGATAAAAAGGCAATCATTTTAATGAAATTGGGACTTGAAGTGAAGGCTGACGATCAACGTGACATTATTGCAATTTGCAAAGGTTATTCTATATTTGCATAGGAGTATTTGGCATGCACGTGACACATAGTCGATTAATAGAAAATTATGATGGATAGACGATATTTTATAGCAGAATTAAAATTTTATGAGGAAACTTAGCTCGAACTATCTTATATTTTGAATTACACGAAAATCAAGTTTTTAAAGATATATATATATATATTACAAGCCTCTATACAACACCACGTATCATTATATTCTTGGATCGAAATTTCAAAAATTCTTTGACAGCTTGAACGATTTTGAATACGAAAAAGGTGTCATCAACCACCATTAAAAAATTTCAAGATTAAGGATTCTACCTAAATTATTCTCCTAAATTATCGCATATTCATCATGTATCTTGTATGCTTGTTATTAAATTATGATAGACTAAACTTTAATTATTAGTAATCATTGATGAAACTTTAACTCTTTAATTCAATAATTGCTCATTTTTTATTTTTCAATTCTTGTTTTGCTATCTAGCTAATTTTATGATTTTTGGGAATTTGTGATGAGACCAAGAGGTTATTCATGCTTCTAACTCGAATAATAAGTCTATATGGAACATAAATATACACTATACTTAATACAATCTCAATTGATGTTCTCATTTGTCTTGTATTTTTATGTTTTCACATCCTTCATGCTGATAGTACAATTATAGGTAAAAGTGACCGAGAGACAAAGATATCATACGAGTAAGATTACTTGTCAACATAAAACAAGAACTAATTGATAACTGATAATTGAGTATTGAAGTACGTTAAATATGGTGAATTTAGGATTCAATTTCCTCTTGTGACTTGATTAAATTTCGAGAAAATAATTAGGAAAAATCAATCTCAACCTAAAATCATTACATTTGTGTGTTAAGGTTAATAAACAAATAATCATTCCTCATAAATTCAACACTCTACTCGTCCTTTATTACTTATATGTGATGCCATTCACTTCAGATATAATTTAACAACATTGCTTTCAAAGCTCCATTAAAATAATGATCTCATTTAATCAATGTACTCTAGATTGATTGTGACAATACATTATAAAAATAAAAAAAAAAATAAAAAAAGAGGAGACTAATCGTTTTCTTACAACTAATGATAAGTTCTCTAAGTAAATTCATAATGTATGTTTCCCATCACAATAATTCAGACCTCGTTTCTTGATGATGATGATGATGATGATAAACATGACCTCATTTTCTTTATCATAATTTTCCATATTCCCATAATTAATGTGATAGTATTGACCACTACAAAAACAGCAACCAAAACCTCATTAAAATAAGTACAGAAATTTTAGAAGAATAACAAAAAATTTAAAAAAGTAACAAAAAAGTGACAAATCCAAGGATGACTGATTTTCTTCTAAATTTGGTCTCTTTATGATTATGTTTCAATTTTATTAACTTAACATAGAACATAATTTTATTTTTCAGAACACGGCACTTATAAATTGGAAGTTGGAAATGACAAAGAGTCCAAAAGGTGACAGAAAAAAATGTGAAAACACCAATCAAAACATTCGATTAGATCCAAGGGATTTTTTTTACATGTTTTCTTTTGATTATGCTTCACTTGTATTTGCTAAGGCCCCGTTTGTTTTTCATTCTTTAGCTACAAAAATAAAAAAATATGACCGTTATCCATCACATCAAATAATCATACTTGACTTCTTCTCTCTTGTATAGGTCGTAACGACCATATTTTTTATTCTCATTATTATAAGAATGAGAGTCAAACGGGGGCTAAATATGGAACATAACTTCATTGTAAGAAAATATAGAATTCTGGGGAATCGAAGAGACTTGAACAAAGAGATTAAATTACTTGAATGAAATTTACTCCATCCTTATCCTTGTTTTCAAAGAGCTGGGATGCAGAAACTGGTGCAGTAGTATTTCATAGGATGAAAACCAATTCAATACAATTCATATTCAACCAAAATTGAAAAGTAAGACAAGTATAATATTAACAAAATTATAGGAAAGAATCCTCTTCATTAAAATAAAGTAAAATTGATGGTTTTCCATCATTAATTTTTTCCGATTGTTTACCACAAATTTGTAAAGCTTGTCAGAAATTAGTGTTTCCCCTTCTCATCCAGTGGCCTCATGACAGAGATGTGGTTGCTCAGATAATTCGAATCCCTCTATCTCTCTCTAAAACCACACTATATTCTCTCACTACATCTGAGCTTTTTGTCTTTTGATGGGTTTCACGAGAGCATTAACAGATAACTAAGAATTTAGGGTAAAAAATCAAAAATGGTCACTAGAGATTTTGGGCATAATTAATATGGGAATTATATTTTTAATTAGTTTTGAAGGTATTAATCTAATATCTTACTTTTCAAGAGTTTTGGTCTAATTTTCCCATTATAATTTTCAGTTCACACTCAACTTATTCAAATTAACTTAAATTTTACCTATTATTCTACCTTAATGTCGTTTTTACAGTTCTATATAAATCAAATTGAAAACCCAACTATACCTCTTTTCATTATTGTGAGCTTAGCATATTCCTTTTAACTCAACAAAGAAAGCAGCGAAAGATACATAAAATTGAATTATGTTATTTTGTAAAAGTTAAGTTTGAACCTATCATTAGTTGAATTAATGTAACATTGCTTTAAATATTAAAAAAAAATTAATTATTGGATGAAACCTCAGAACTGAATAGAACCGAACGCAAACGGTTCTATAATTAAATTTGAACATGACGATTCCATTTACCAAATACCTAAAAATTCGGGCTCTGTTCAATTCTAAAGAGAATTAAATCAACTGAACCATGTCCAACCTTAATCGGTCGTATACCTCAACCTCCAACATCACACAGGAGGAAAAGGCTCAGGTTGGTTAATCGGAGTCATCAAAGGAGGAATGAACATACACTGATTCGATGATAATGACATTTGGTTATTTACTTCCATTCTTAAAATGTCAAACATTTGGAGGTAAATTCTTACTATTCTCTTGAATGTACCCTCTAACGAAGATAAATATTTTATTTCTTCGATTCAAATACTCGCCCCTAGTTGAGATACAATTTTTAAAAAGAAAATATTTTTATAAAGCCACAAATTTGAGCAGCGTAGCTCCAGGACTCGAACGATTATGGTATAATCACGTGTAACAAGAACTTCAGGACAAGAACAACATGGAAATCTGGTAGTTTGCTCCCAACAGTAAACACGATGAAATAGAAACTCCTGAAAAAATTCATAACGAATATAAACTTTGGAGATGAGAATTGAGTTAAAAGGCACGAGAGCTCGCTTCGACTATGACTTGGAATACAGTGAAGGAAAACCTCTAGGGGCACCTCATGATTCTCCTAGGGAAACCCGTTTACAGTCATTCCTCCATCAACAGAAATAACCTGTCCACTAATGTACGATGCAGTCGGGAGACAAAGGAAAGCTACCAACGATGAGACTTCGTGTGGTTCTCCAGGGCGTCCAAGGGGAGTTCGAGATATTACCTTATCCAAAAACTCTTTGTTTCCAAGCAACTGCAAAACAAAGTTGATGGACTCAACAACAAAAACTTACCGAAAAATGAGTTTTGAAATATTTAATAACCCTTACTACAAATAATCAAGTTTATGATCTGATTCTGGCCAAAAAAAAAATAAAAAAATTGAATAATTAAGTTCTCCAGGGCGTCCAAGGCATAGTTCTTAAAATCGGATCCACCTGGTTTTGCTCTTATGACATAAGAGTAAAGGGCCATCCAATGCATAGGAAGAATACATGTGCTGCCCACCCTTAATTTATAATGTTCTTTTTCCCTGAATTTCCACCCATTCCTTAAACTATCCAACAATATGGTATGGACTACTCATGCTTGTTTGTTACATCGTAGTGGAAACGAGTGCACAATAATGAAAAAGATTTCAGTTCTTTATCTTACATAACAGTCTGAGTAGAGTCGAAAGGAGAGCTGAGAACCATCCAAACTATCCAATCATCTCTACCAAAATGCTAAGTATAAGTTATTGCATAAACTGCTGTAAGCGTGTGCGTGTGCATGTGTGTGTGCTTGTGCATCTGGTGAAAGGAGCTGTTTTGGTGTTTATTTACATAATTTCCAAGTATAACAAGATGCCGACAAAAGATAACCTAAGACCTACTCCAGCACTATGGACAACTCCTATCTTCCCACAATTAAATTCAGATTATCACAGTGATAAAGGTAAAATGCACAGAGGCTACATCTTCAATACTACACAAGAATAGTTGGAACTAGCTCAATATCGCATGATGATTACATGCATTACTAAAGTCTACACGATGGTGATAACACGTGTTAAACAAATAATCAAATTATTGACCACGAAGTATCTATGTTCACATATTTATCACACAGTCACGAGTAAAACCAGTAATTCATGGAGACAACAAGTCAACAGGAAATTTCCCATTTTTCATTCAAACACTCTTCAGTGTAATGTAGAGTTACGAGAAAGGTAAATTTCCTAAGGTTAAATAACAAGAAGTCACTGGGGAAACTCACTGTCCTTATAAATACTCCTTAAGATTATTTTTGAGAAGAAGAACAGGGATGTTTCTGCTAGAAGAAAATGAGACAGTAGCTAGAATCCTGGGAACCCAGTGATGTTATCATTATAAAAACAGCTGTGCTACCTGCACAGGGTTGTGCAGGGGCACACACATGGGGGTGAATCCCACATGATGTGACACCCTTTGTACAGGCCTGTGCAAATAGGCTTGTGCAGGGAGCTTTTTTCTTATAAAAATTATTATTACTCTTTTGCTTAATTTAGATGAGCTCCTATTGTAAAGACTCATAAAGGCATTTAAAAAAACTCTAATTAATTCATAATTGGAGAAATAGCAAGAGTACAAAATTAAGAAGCTCGAACTTCAGAAATTAGGCATAAATCATAGAAGCAGATTGATATTTAGAGAGTACAAGAAGAATTATATGCTCCCACGCTTGATAAAGTATCTAAGAGTATCTCCAAGAGGCTTTTAATTCCCATGTTCTTTATTTTAAAGAGTCGGTCTTCTTCTACAGAATCCAACAAACTCTCTATATTCCCAAATTACCACAAAGGGTGGATTTGACTTTCCAAATATAGATACTCAAACCCATTCTCTATAAAATATTTTTAGTTGTTTCTTTCATTATTTCACAAATTTCTATGCACCACATCACTATATTTAATTGATTATTTTAATATTTTAATTCTACTTTCATCCCATTTTCCTTTTTTTAAGAGAACATGTTTGGCAGTTATTGTTTATGGGAAAATGAAAAATAAAGAATAAATATAGAGAGTGTTGTTATACTTATGTAAAAAGTTCACTCTTAAATAAAGAATAAATGTAGTGCGTGTTGTTATACTCATATAAAAAGTTCCACTCTTACAGTTTAAAAATTCTTGAAAATGCTATTCGTATTGGAAAATATGCTCTTTAAAACAAATAGCATTGTCAGAATGCTCCTAGGAAGCTCTCCAAATTCCGACCTATAATGATCATGACCTAGATAAATGCATATGTGCTGATACGACATCCATTATACGTTCAGTGATCAAACAACTGGCATATAATTCTCGGTGAGAAGGAGGACCACCCAAATTTCAATTGAGGGTGAAAGTCTATAACAAATAAAAACAATGTGAATTTTTCAGTTTCTTGAACATTAATGATGGGGAGGCGACCTCGTATACGATGGGTCAATATCATAATGGTAGAAACATGAGAAGATTAAGACTTATAGAAGAAAAAGGAAGAATAGAAATATTACATGTTCCACAAGAGAGGTTTTGATATACCAAGGTGCAACGCAGTTGACACGAATGCCATCTTTTGCCCATTCACAAACCAAATTCCTTGCAAGCTGATTTATTGCACCTGTGAGTGGGAATATTTAAGGATTCTATAACTTTCATCCATTTCTAGTAAATGGTTAGTGTAAGAAAATGAGTATTTTCCCTATAATAGCTTGCCTTTAGTCGCTCCATAAATAGATCCGGACGATATGTCAACCAGACCAGCAACCGACGAAATGAACACAACACTTCCATTGCCAGAAGCTTTAAGAAGATTATAAGAAAGTTGGCATAGATGGTAAGAAGACTCCAAGTTTGTAGCCAAGAGATAGGAATATTCTTCAGCAGAATAATCAACAGTTGACTTTCTGATGTTCGTCCCAACATTATTTACCTAAGACATGAGATCCTATGAGGCCATTCTCAAGGCTTTCAAGAACAATAACATTTTATACAGATGGTAACTTTCAATTTCTACGTCACAAAGAATGCCATCATAGAGTTTGCAGCTGCTGAGAAGGAAATGATTTGACATAGAAAAATTGTTGGAAAATACGATACTTGCTAATATTTGCCTGAACATAGACAAGGAAAGGTAAAACAAATAGACAAGTTGACAAAAAAGTTAGAGGTAGTATACATTGGGAACATAGAGTCATTGATTAATGATTATCATGTTTAGCTATGAGGTGATGCTGATAGCCCTAAGGTTAGGATTTAGGAGCTTACAGTCATTTACATTCTGTTGGAATTCTGGACAGATGCAAAGTGATTCCATAGGGAATCATTTTTCGACAAATTATTGGTTCTGCTTATAGAGAGAGCGATTTCATAGGACAACATTTTATGATTAAATTATTCACTTCATTTGCAAGTGGCTGAACGAATTCTACAAGAATGTATCATCTTCTAAATAAACATTTAACTTTTAGGCCTTTAGTCATTGTAATGAAAATATAAGCATCACATATGTAAATGCCTGTTTCCCTAATAAACTTTTGGGGGAAAATATTTTAAACATGTGCACTGAGTAATTGAAATTCTAGCATGGCAAACAGAACATATGAAGTTCATGAACTACGCCTAGCCCAAAAATCTTAACCAATTTAGCTCATCTTCATGAAAAAATAACACATTAACAATATTTTCATCCCAAGGTGAGTATTTCCCATAACTCATGGGGATGGAGTAGTTCTAGAACGAAAAAAGTTGGATGACCAAAGTAAAACATGGCTTTAACTTTGGCATTAACAGCGTTTTTAACCAAAAAATTTTTGTAAGGGGTACTCACAAGAATGTTGAGTTTGCCATTGAAAATTGAGGAGACCTTTTCTACGAGCTCTGTTCTTTGGTCTCTAGAAGAAGCATCACACACAGAACCACTCACTTTAAATCCTTTTGCATTCCATTCTTGCAAACGTTGATGGAGCTCCGCTTCATTTCTTGAGCATGTGTGCACAGTTGCACCCATTTCAGAAAGTTCTTCCACTGTCGCTTGCCTGATTATCACATTATTAAAAAATAATCATAATAAATAAATAAATAAATAAATAAATCGTTAAAAAACACAAAAAAAAATGAAAAAAATGAAAAAACCCATAAATATTTTTAATAAAAAAACCCAAAAAACAAGAAAAATAATAAAGACCCAATTCCACGAGTGCCGCCGGTAACAAGAGCGGTCATGCCGGAAAGGGACCATCTTGAAGTTCTGCTCTGTCCCTCCCTTGCCATGGATGATGGCTTCGTTCTCCCTTTCACAAGAAAACACACAGCGAGTGAGTGTTTCAGTCAATTAGATGAGGAGTGAAGAATTTGTTGGGACTGTTTAATGGATTTGGAAGTTGCTAGGCTTATCTGCCTTTTTAATGCTTATTTTGTTGATAGAGAGTATAGATAATGTCCATTTCATTTTATTTCAATATACAATATGAATAGCCGGCCTACCCTAGACCCTTTTCACCTATTCATAGACTCTAATGAATTATGAAAGAAAGGTCAAATAAGGGTGATGTGGAGGAAAAGTTTTTATTTTTTCTATATTTTTTTTATTTTTATAAATTAAAATGAAGATAAACTATTCTTCTCACCATGACAAGTTCAACTTTTGTTGCAATTTTTCATTTATTAGATTGTTAATTGTTGTTTATAAGTAATTGTATTAGTCGCAAAAATTGAGAAGGGGCGAAATAATGCTACAAGTTCGTTATATTTAAAAGGAATTGTAACCTTATAACATTTATCTTTGCAAAATCAACAATAGACAGAACATATATGATTGAGAATAAAAAAGGTAAAGTTAAATAATTTTTATGGCAAACAATATTTGACAATTATCGATATTGTTTTTTAGGGGAAAAAAAATTAATTAGATAGAAAGAAAGAAGAAGGATTTAGTGGATTTGGTTATGCATTCGGCGAGGGAGAGAATTGGGCTTCAATGAGGCACGGAAGCCCAATCTTACCAAATCTAGGGCACGTATGTTGGTTAAATGGGAGATGGGTCTGGGCGGCCCGCCATTTCCCGAAGCAGCCCAATAGCACTCTATGACTTGACAACCTCAGTACTATGTACGATGAAAGCCACGTACCAACTTTGTTCCTCCATTTAATTCCAATTCGTTTTCTGTATTGGCATTTTTCATCCCCAATACTAAAATTCTCTATTTCACTGTCACCTACAAAGAACCCTCCCTCCCTCTCTCTCTCTCTCTCTCTCTCTCTGTGAAATCCGACGGAGAAACTGGGTTTCTTTTGTATTGATCATCTGTTAAAAAAGAAAAAATGAGTACGATACGAGAGCATTTGGGTCAAAATCCGTTTAAAGCGTTGAAGTCAATTTCAGCGGAGAAGAATATTGACTTTCTGAAATCTTTGTTGAAGGTTGCTGTCGTAATCTCAATGGTCGCTTCAATTTCCCTGTTTCTGTATTCGGCTTTTCACAGAGAGGCCCGACCTGTGTGGTTCCGATGCCCCGAATTCGACGACTCGACCGGAACCCCGAACGTTGTCCAGGTCAGTTCTAATTACTCCCCAACAAATATTTCCCACATAGCATTCGGAATCGGCGGGTCGATCCACACGTGGAAGGACCGGAAACGCTACTCGGAGCTCTGGTGGAAACCTAATGAGACACGCGGCTATGTTTGGTTAGACAAAAAACCCATCACCAAAACCCTGTGGGATGATAATTCCATTCCTTATCGGATTTCCTCCGACTGGACCCGATTCAAACATTCTTCAGGCTCCGACTCCGCGGTCAGAATAGCGCGTGTGGTTTCGGACCTGTTTCGGGTCGGGTTGCCGGATGTGAGATGGTTCGTTATGGGCGATGATGACACGGTGTTTTTCACTGATAACCTTGTTACGGTGTTAGCAAAGTACGACCATCGTCGGATGTACTATATCGGAGGGAGTTCAGAGAGTGTGGAACAGAACGTAATGCATGCGCACGACATGGCGTTCGGCGGTGGAGGTTTCGCCATTAGTTACCCACTTGCGGCGGATCTGTTCAGATCAATGGACGGCTGCCTTAATAGGTACCACTACTTCTACGGCTCAGATCAACGGGTGTGGGCCTGTGTTGGCGAGGTTGGAATCGGCCTTACAAAAGAACCAGGGTTCCACCAGGTACGTTACACGTATCAACTTATTGATTGATGCGTGTTTCATTTTCAGTATTCGAATTTGCATAAAAAAAAAAAAAAAAAAAAAAAAGGTTCTAGTAATATATTTTGATTAATATAATTTTTAATCAAAGTTTAAACTGTCCTGGCAAATAACTGACTGTATTGAACTTGTCGGATAAGTACTGGTCAATGAAATACGACAAACGTGGTGCCGTGGTGGTGGATATAGTTGTTTGCAGCCGTCAGATGCACAGATAGTTAACGGACCTTGTGCCACGTATAGGCCATAGGGAACCGATTATAATATTTCCTTCGTCCATAAGAATTGACCTTTTCTGAATTTGTCCTTGACTGTATACGTTGATTGGTTGAAAGCCATTTAAAATTATTGTTGATGTAGGAAAAAGTTATAGGGTCAGAACGACAATGAAAAATATAGTGGTTACAGATCCACACAAGAGATGAAAAATCAAATATAATAACTTAATGTGATGGATAACGGTCATATTTTTTATTTTTGTGGCTAAAGAATGAAAATCAAATTGGGCCTATCTTAGTTTTGTCATTAATGAGGTTTAATTGTAATTAAGGTGCAATTAAGCGCACAACTTAGCTGTGAACTTTTATGTCTTCTTCAAGAATAACTTTTTGGAGGAAAAAAGTGTGCGTGTTAAATACACTCCTTAATTATGCTTTTAATACTTTTTGACTAAAAACAGTCTACATCCACCCACAAAATCTATAATTGCTAATTCCATTTTAAAATATCAATTTCATTTTCAGCAGTAATGATACTTGTACTTATCTATTTGTTTCCATACAAATGATGTGTCATTAATGGAATTTTTTTTATTTGGTTGAAGAAATTCTGATCGAATCATATCTGATCATATCAGTTATCTCACACCGCATCATGCATGTGTAATCTATTATGTAAATCATTATGTACATGTAGCACAATCATTACTTTTAGTCAAAAAAGAGAATGCGGAATTTTATTTTATTTTAATTTGATTGAAAAAATTTTGATTCAATTATATTTCATTGCATTATGTGTATGTAAATCACTATATAAATTATTATGTATATGTAGCACAATCGTTAATTTTAGTCACATCATGGGAGGTAACCTTGTGACTTCCATCTTTGCTAACTCCTACGGACATTACATTTGTGAGATTAGAAGTGTAAAAAGGGTCACTTAGAATGCGACATTTTACTAGTGTGGTCATGTCATGTTAGGTTAGTTGAACCATGGGCCTAACTGTATTTAATTTTACTCGTAATTTGATATTTTGAAACTACGAAAGAAAAAAATAATAAAAAAATCATGTTGAGCTGGTCCCCTTGTGGGGAAGGTCGTTCCTTTGTGGTCAATCGTGGGCGAGGAGGTATTTAAACTCTCGACGCTATAGTCTGTGGCTACTAGCTAGCTTTGTGTTATAATTCTCTGGGTTATAGGTCCCACCCTGTTTTTATTGGATTAGCACTCGAAGAGAGATGATTTCTTAAGATCTTTGATTCGTTTCTAGATTTTATGACACATGTTTCTTAATTTTTTCAGATTGATATAAGAGGCGACCCCTATGGTCTTCTTGCAGCACACCCTAGGGCTCCAATAGTATCTCTTCATCACCTTGATTATGTAAAGCCTTTGTTTCCAAACCAGACTCAGCTCGAAGCATTAGGAACCCTAATGCAAGCATACCGACTCGACCCTGCCCGAACATTGCAGCAATGCTTCTGCTACCATCGGAAGCACAAATGGTCCGTGTCCATCTCGTGGGGCTATACCGTGCAGATATACACTACACTGCTGACGGCTAAGGAGATGGAGATGCCATTGCTAACGTTCCAAACGTGGCGTAGTTGGAGTGGTGGACCTTTTGAGTTCAATACCCGTTCAATGAGTGACGATCGGTGTAAACAGCCTGTTGTCTTTTATTTGAGCACGGCCAACGATGATGGGAAGGGTAAGACAGTGACTACTTATAAGAAATTTATGGTTAAGACAGTGAACAAGTGTGGCAGATCACAGCGTGCAGCAGCAGCTATTGAAAACATCATAGTATCAGCATCAAAAATGGATCCTAAAGAATGGAACAAGGTTTGCCTCTCTCTCTCTCTCATCATAGTATTTCTTTGGCAATTATTTATATCATATTTATCCTTGGTTTGGATAACAAGTTATAAATGGTTTCTGATTTCAACATTACATATTCATAATTATTATTCACACGTTTCGTGAGACTATTATTATTCCTCTTTATACGCAAAATGGAGGCTTAGTTACTGACGGATATTAATATGTAGGGAAGCCGAAGACAGTGCTGCGATATAAATAGAAGTTTGAATCATGGGACAATGAGAATTAACATCAGAAGGTGTAAACAATGGGAGACTGTAACCTTTTGAGGCAAGCTTGCTCAGTTTCTTGATGTTGTACATAATTTATTGAAAGAGAAGGAATATTTTTATATAATAGAAGCATATTTTACACTGAATTAGCTGGATTCTATTACAGTTGAACCTAGAGGAGGCTACTTTTACATTAGCTGAGGCTTATTTGGCGTATTTTATGGACGTTGTATTGGAGAGAGTTTTTGTAGGGGTTTTGCTAAGTGTACCACAATATTTCGGTGTACAATCCCCTCACAAAAGGATCCACGATTTGGGCACCATTTTGTGAGGGGCTATAGTAAAATCTTTTCTGTTGATTTTCTTTTGGACTTGGAGTGGCAAATGGGCTATGGTTGTCTTGAAAAAGGCACCATCGATTATGCAACCACTTATTTAATTAGGGGTGGGCGCGGGTCGATTCGGTTCGATTCTAAAGAGAGCCGAACCGAACTAAAATTTTCGGGTATTTAGTAAATGGAATCGTCGGGTCCAAATATAATTATGGAACCGTTCGGGTTAGATTCCGTTCGGTTCAGTACTATAATTAAATTTTTTAACATTTATAACAACATTATATAAATACAACTAATGACACGTTCAATGGTTTTGAAATGTCAGAGACTAGTAGACTACCTTGTTCAAATGATCGCTACGATCAAAATTTCTGTTGGCGGAGGTCACAACTTCGATCGGAGGTCACAGCGTCGGTCGGCGATTGTATAGGTTTTGAAATGTCAGCGAGGCTGCGAGAGTCGAGACAGCGTTATGCACTTTAGTGTAGGTGTTTAGGGTTATTTAGTGGGTTGGATCTTGTTGGGCTAAGAAATGAGACAATAAAATGGGTAATTGGGCCCAAATTAAAAAAATAGAAATGAAACAAATTATTGGGCCAAAAATTTGAATTTAGAAATTGTTAATTTGTTTAGAAAAATTAAAATTAAATTAATTTGATTTATTCAATATAAAAAAAAAATTAGAAAGATTCGGTTCTTGGTCTAGAATCGAGAATCGAATCGTACCCGTCGGTTCTCAATTCAGATACCTGTTCAGGTATATAATTTGACAAGAACCGTCGGGTTCGGTTCAGGAGATTTGCCCAGCCTTATATTTAATGCTGTCGAAGTAGAAAGATCATAGCTCGGTCTTGGCTTTGTGCCGTAGCCCAACCTGCACAGACAAAAAATAGACGTGATCGATTGATTTTTCTATTTTAGGATGAAAGTACAGTCTCATTTTCTAAAAATTCATGTTTTTAAAACTCATTTTTAATCACATTTTCATTTAACAAAATAATTTTGCACATAATTTTAAAATTTTAACCATACGCTCTTCAAAAAAATACTATTATAAAACTCATTTTTCGCAAAAAAAAAAAAATGGAGCTTAAACATTTATTGTATTTGCAAACGCAAGTGGGAAAAAAAGTGCCTTTTTTGTAGTGTGTAGGGGTGGGCGTGGGTCAATTCGGTTCGATTCCCTTTAGAATCGAATCGAACCAAAATTTTCGGACATCTAGTAAATGGAACCGTTGGGTCCAAATATAATTATGGAACCGTTGGAGTTCGGTTCGGTTCGGTTCTGTACTGTAATTAAATTTTTTAACATTTATAACAACATTATATAAATACAACTAATGACGCATTCAATGGTTTTGGAATGCCATGAATTAGTAGACTACCTTATTCAAATGATCGCTACGGTCAAAGTTTCGATCGACGGAGGTCGCAGCTTCGATCGGAGGTCACAGCATCGGCCGATGATTGTATAAATTTTGAAATGTCAACGAAACTACGAGAGTGAGTGCGAGAGTCGAAACAATGTTATACACTTTAGTGTAGGTGTTTAGAGTTATTTAGTGAATTTGATCTTGTTGGGCTAAGAAATGAAACAATAGAATGGGTAATAGGGCCAAAAATTAAAAAAATTAGAAATGAAACAAATTATTGGGCCAAAAATTTGGATTTAGAAATTGTTAATTTTTTAATTTGTTTAGAAAAAATTAAAATTAAAATAATTTGATTCACTCAATATAAAAAAAATTAGAAAGATTTGGTTCTTATTCGATTCTTCGGTTCTCGGTCTAGAACCGAAAATCAAACCGTACCCGTCGATTCTCAATTCAGATACCCGTTCGGATATTTAATTTGACAATAATCGTCGGGTTCGGTTTAGTTTGGTCGGGTCGGGTCGGTTCGGGAGATTTGCCCAGCCCTAGTAGTGTGGATGGATTGACTTTGTTATTTTTATTTTATTTTATTACTATGAAATAGTTATAATAATAAATTAATAATTTTTATAGAACTTTTCGCATCGTATCCATCTTAAGCCTTTTTGTTTTTTTATTTGGACCGTGCTGGGGCGCCAGAACAAATTTGACACCCCAACTGAGAAATACTCAGAGCCAGGGGGGTGGGTGGGTGAGTGGGTGGAATCCCATATGATTATGAGGATATGTCAAAAGGGTGGGCAAATGACTTCTGGCAGCATGATTTTTTCCTTTTTATTTTTTTATGTCAGAAATAACATTTCTGTTAGTGGTATTTTGTTTTTCATTTCCGTACAACCTATAATAAGTGAAAACAAATAAGACCTTGTTTGATTCCTATTCTTTGATCACAAAAATGAAAAATATGACGTTATCCATCACAATAAACCATCATATTTGATTTTTTATCTTTTGTATGGGTTCTGTAACGATTATATTTTTCATTCTCATTCTTAAATCTACAAGAATCAAACGGGGCCTAAGTATAACACGTGCTACGAATTTGAACCATCTTATTTATGATCACTCAACTAGGTCGTTGAAACTGGGACATTGTACATACTTCTTGCAGAAAAGTGTGTTTTTACACAGGTTCAATCGATGATGTGATGCAACAAATTTATTGATCCTCGGAGAGTTTCACTTTGCATTTTCAAATACAATTACAGACTTTCCCAGAGGTCGCATTAATTGCAGAGCAACGTCTCTCGTGTTTCATTGCCAGTTACTGGGTTCATCCTGGTAACAAAGCATCGAATAAGAGAGCTACACACGGTGAGAAAGACAAATGTAATAGAAATAGCTCATTACCCATTGGCAAATTTGCAAAGGTATTCCCGTTGGTCATCTCTCAATGGAACATCAGTGAAATCTGATTGCATAGAACAAATGATGGCAATGTTGATCCTCATAAATTCATAGAATAGCACATGCAGAATATTTACATATTATAATTGTCTGTAAATTCAGAGAATAGCATTTTGCGGGACAAGATAAATTCACCAATCAACTATAAGAAAAGGATGCAAAAGGAGAGTGTTTATTTCAACTTTAGCCACAGCCCTCTAATCTAACTACTCCAACATTCGTCCTCTAATATGTGATTTGATTATTACGCCAATGAAGTTGTATAATGGTAAAAGAAGGTGGATGCCAAGTTGCTTGTAATGGTTGCCAAAATCCAGCAAAAACGGATCTAAGCACAGGTTGACTTCGCAAAATGTCTCTTCCTTCGAGAGAAGCAGTTGGTAACCAAATTTGAGTGGTAGATTATGGGTTTCTCCTGGATTTTATCTTGATAGGCAATGTCTGAACTGTATTAGCAGGATTCTTATTGATCCGTTTATGTTATGCAGATGACTCCTCGATCTTGGAACACCATATGTAGACCTTAGGTATTTATATTTCTTTTTATTTCTTCATTGGTGACTCATGGATTTTTAAAATCGCAAGACTTCCTCACAAAACTTAAAAGTTATGAATTTAATTCTCGGGTATAAGGGGGATAAACAACATTTTTGAGCTACCAAACAAGATTCTTTTATATAGAAACTTTCAGGAAAAAATGTCGGTTGTGCTACATGTACATAATGATTTACATACACATGATGTGACGACATATGATTGGGTAAGCGTTTCTTCAACCAAATAATTAAAAAATAAAATAAAAATTCCCCTCTCATTCTGATGCCTCGTGTGTATGTAACCATTATTTAACTTCATTATGTACAAGCAGCATTATTCAAAAATGTATGTATTGAATGTGATCTTTCATTTACAGGGCACTAGTTTTGCTGGGTGAGGAGATTGCAAATCCCTTTGTGCCTGTAATATTGAACAGAAACGATAACCATAACGCAGCCCACCAAGTTAGGCACAAGTACAACCAAGAATTTAGATTCTACAGTTATTAATGAGTAGACACTACTCCTAAACAAGAAATGGTTCTTGTGCTTCAACATACCTGCACCCGTTATAATTGCACCCTTAAAAGATGTGTTGCCAGTTGCAAGTGCTCCTTCCAGGTTGGCATTGCTCAAATTTGCCTGTCATTAGAAATGGCCACTTCATAAGCAAATCAGTGGAATATGTATGATTTTAATCAGATTCTCGAAGATAAGAGAAAATCATAAAAGTAGATACATAACACGAATTATAAAACCGAGAAATGACGAGTGTGCTTGAGCTACAATATACTCTTCTTTAATCATGAGATCCTCCCTGCACCTCTAACCACCTAACAAACTGATTTTACCAGTTCGACACTTTACATCCCTTGTCCCCATATCAACGGCTAAGCACACACCTTCATGCTGCTATTGCTTAACACCCCATATGAATGAATTTATTTGATATCCAATTTTCTCTATTTAGTGGAATAACGGAAATATTTTAAAAGAAATCAACAACTTTTGAAGATTCATCTTCAAATCAATAAAGTCGTCAAAGAAGCAAAGTCTGATTTGAACAATCCTCATATTGTTGCTGCTTACAAATTGAAAAGGATGCTGCATTTTTATTGTATTGTGACCTGATGGACTCACAACTTGGAATAAGAAAGAGAGATTTCATAGTTGCGTTGAGAATTCTGTTAATAGTGCTCAAAATCAAACTTGAAAGTAACATTAGAACTGATGTAGCTAAAAAGCAACAGTATAATGTTGCTTTCCGAAGTAATCTGATTCAATGTCCCATTAATATCATTATCATTTTTCTTTTTTTTATCCGCATACCAAAAGGTTGGTTTTTTATGATCTTGCTAATATCACAATATTCAAATGACAGGTAATTGCTTGAACATTAAAATGTCTTGCTAACCACAATTAGAAGTATTAATAATTTGATATTAGAAAATACTCCTATTGTCACCTGGTATTCAGAAAGATACTCTTGCAATAGAAATTTTTTATGCAAACGCTGATGATCTCGGTGACTAACTATAGCCTATCCTATTGACAAGGCTATTGATGTATCATGTAAAGAGCTACTGGTTGTTTCTTTATTCTATGTACAATGATAGCACAAACAACAGGAATATAAATAAATTCAGGAATCAACATAATGAGACTCTGTCACAAGTATAGATCTAATAACTAATAACATTCTAAAGCATCCATCTCAAGACTGAGTGGCAATGAGAAATGGTCACACACTCGTAGACTAGTTTGAAAAGTTATAATTTGCCAATGGGGGATATCTAATTCACAGCAAATCCATATGCACACAAGCTTTTGAATAAAGGATTATGTTGAGACAAAAGTCGATTTTCTGCTGTTGATTCTAATGTGAAATTCTATATTGTGATTTAAACTATGGTCTAATTAGGGTCACTCAAGGTTTTTTGTCCAGTGACTTGCTTTGCACAATTGTTTTCCAGATTGTTTATGCCATAATTGTATAGCAGGGGCGTGCAAACTGTGTTCAAAGGCACATTGTTTACCAGGAAGGGGAAAATATTTTATGCATAATGGCATACAGAAGTACATGAAAATATGTAACCCATAGAAACTTTATGATCAATGGAAATTTAGTACCTTTGTTACATTGGCCAGGGAGAAATCTGCTCCTCTAAGATCAGCGTCAGAAAGATCTGCCCCTGAACGTGCAGGGAAAAAAAATATTTAAAGATGGGCATGGTTGTCAACCAAGTTTTCATGAACTTAAAGCACGTTTGGCTAAGCTTAAAGAAAAAGTAATGAAAATTTTAGAGTACCAATGAAATACCTACAACAGCATCGCTCAGACAGTACTATGCAGCAGTTAGCTACTGATTCCCATTTTCCAAATTTTCAACTTGAATACAAATTCAGAAGAAAAAAACTGTTCACATAGAATTAATAATCGGTTCTATTGACAAGTTATTAACTTATTGGCATGACTATTTATACTTGGATTAGCATATGAAAGCACCAAAGTGTTCAAGAAATTAATTATTAATTTGTAAATGAACACTGCATTAATTTGCAGATTTTGCACTGTTATCTCTTTTTCTCAAGTCCAAAATAAGAAAGAAAAAGAAATTGTTCATCTATCTCTGCCTAGTCCCACTTTCCATGATCCAAAGTTCATAACCGAAGAGTAGTACTCTTTCCATGAGAGAATGTAAATAAAAATCCATGTTATTGCCAAAATTAATGATTGCTATTCTCAAATTTCAATCTCTTTTCAATAATAATACTCCAGGCATCTGCACTAGACAGTCATCCATATCTCAAAAGAATATCCAGATGCATCCAACAAAACTCAACTATTTGTATCGCTCTTTAAATCCAAACATAGAGATAAGTACACATATCCTGATGCTAGATATGATATTCATTCGTCTATATGTGAGTACGTTTAAAACCCACCCATGCTCCCAAGCTCAACTCAATTTGGGGTACACGTAAAAGCTTTTCCAAAGATAAAAGGCCACTATATGTTTAACAATAGAGTTCGTTCAATTCAAGAACCCCGATTAAGCCTTAGATTGCTCTACGATAAAGATTTTATTCCCTATTTTACAGAACAGAACTTATCTATAAGCTTCACCTTGAATCCTAATCTTCTCAAACCATCATATGCATTGCAACTTCAATATGATCTGAAGAAGTTAAAGGATAGAGAAACTGAGTCAATACTTTTAAGTTGGCAGAAGAAGTGGTCATAGGGAACAACTAAACACGTTCACATCAAAGTTAATCCATCTTCAGCCTTCATGCCGGGTTCAAGAGCAATTTTTTTTTTTTTAATGACAACGATGTTTATATAATTTTACCAAGTTTTCCTTCATTAAACCATTATGATTCATTTCCTACTTGGCTTGATTATATAATTATTCCTTTCTATTATTTGACAAAACACCTAAAATAAGAAGGTGAATAAACGATGCCCTATGCATTTGGAACATATATTCCTGTTTAACCTATAAGATTCGTGGCGAGTTAAACTGCTATGCAAATGTGGAATGTAAATGAATAACCACATATAGGGGCTTGGGACTATTGCAATGATATTACCTGTTAAATCAGCATCAAAGAAGCTGGCTCCTAATAACTTAGCCCCTTTGAAATTGGCTTGCCTCAGTATTGACTGAATCAGATTTTCCGTAAAGTGAAATATTAAAAAGAAAACTTTAATATAGAACTACCCAAAAAATCGTTATACGTCCTGATTTTCAATCAGTTGGTAAGCAAAATGATGATGAGATTAAGAAATGCATTACCGTTTTGAAATCTTGCTTGATCAAAGCTTTGCCACTAAAATCTTTACCTGTAAGATCTTGTCCCCTGGTCACTTCTGCACCGTATGGCCCTCCACCCTTTCCAATTATTTTCCCGCAGAACATTAATCAATGTACATTAACAAAAAGGAAATTCATTATACACAACATTTAACGTTAAACAAGCAAAATTCAAATCAAGCTTTGATTACCTTAAATGCAAGAGCAGGATTTGAAGCAAAGACAATTGAAGCAGAAAGAACAACAAGAACACTCGCTTTAGAGATTGATTCACACAAAGAAGACAAATGATTTTGAATTTGAGGGCCCTGAATAGAATGCATTGAACATCAAAATCTGTGAAGAAGATTCTTGAAATGTTACATTAAATTGAATTACACGTGGGGTGGGGTACCTGCGGAGCACGAGGGCTGGAGAGGGAGAGAGAAGATATTATGGGTTTTGATGGAGATGCTGAATTGTTGAAGGAAATAGTTTTGGGGTTTGGATTTGTTGAGAATTTGGAACACAAACAGAGATTGAGAATCGCCATTGATAAACCGGGACTCCTGCTCTTTTTGGATAAGCCGTACAAGCACAAATTTTGTTATTTCAAATGACGTGTAAATTTTATTACCCACACCACATCTTGAATATGTGTCAACAACTTAAAAAATTATGACATTGTTTGGTGAAAATTAAAATTAAAATTTTAATTCCCTATCAAATAAGGGCTAGATTAGAGCATCAACTATAGACAATAACAATTAGATTGTGTTTGATTGCTAGTATGAAATTTACATGAAAAGAAAAATAAATTTTAGGCAATTGAATTGCCAATAAATCATTTGCATGAGAATTATCAATTTAATGTGTTTAATTGGTTTTATTTTCAACCTAGAAAATGTTATTGGAATGAATGGAAAAAATAGCATGTCGTATACTTGTCCTTTTTATTGGTAAGTAGATGAGAGTGAAAAGAGGTAGACAAGAGAGAGAGGAGTGAATTAACTAAAAAATACAAAATTACTCTTCTGAAGAAAATATTTTTCTTGTTTTCAAGTAATATATAATCACTTGATGAAAAGTAGAAAAATATTTTTCATAAAAAAAATATTAATTAAACAGCACAAAAGTAAAAATTTGGATTGAAAAATGACATTTTTCATGAAAAATATTGACAATCAAACGCATTCGTAGTTTATATTATTACGTAAAAAGAATGTTCTCAAAGTTATGAGTAGTTGCGATTTTGTTTGGGAGCCACTATTTATATCCATCATTTTATATATGTATATCCACTTTAAAAAAGATAATTGTATTATATTTTTAATCTTGTGTAGATTTAGTTAAATAGACATATATAAAATTAAATAAAAATATATCACTTTAAATTCATCCACTAATATTTATTTTTATTAAATTCTCTTGGGTCTTTTTATATTTTTCAGAATGTCTTTAATAAAAACTCTAATAGTTATAAAATATCACTTTCAACTAAAATCAAAACAAAAAAAAAAATGTAAATCTACACATTAAAAAGCTAAAACCTCATAATTTGATTTTGGCCACTTGAACTTTAAAATCACTTACAAATGGAGGCTTCAAGAAATTCAAATGAATTCGCTTGGTATTATGAATTCCAATATGTCATGCCCATTTGAGCAAACTAGCAAATCCACGTAGATCAGCGGAAATTTTATGAACATTCCAACAAAATGATGTCACATATAAAAAGGGGCAAATTTTAGAAAAATCTCAAACTTTAAGATTTCATACGGCTACGGGGCGACTTCTAATATTTTACGATGAATAATGCGATTCATAGTGAATATCATCTAGGTTTAATTGTTAAATTTCTACAATCAAGCACTCCCGAATGCATATGTGGGAAGTAGCCACCATCCGCCTGATGTGTGTAAATGCATCAAGAATACCAACTCCCTTAAACATGGAAAAATTAGGCGAAAAAATGACAGTTGAAAATATTTTAGGAAACGGGAAAAAAAGGAAAGAAAAAATTTGAGGTGCAAGAAGTTTCTGGTCACAAGAGAGATCTAATAGGCAGATTTGGAGTGACGATGAAAAGGGATATGGCCGTAACCATGACCTGTTCAAGTTGAGAATGGTGTCTGCAATCGTTGGCAGGTGCGTTATGAAGATATTATTTTATCCCAACTGAAAACAAACCCAAAAAAGTATATTAAAAATTAATTAATGAATCATAAGAATGTTGATGTTATATGTAATGGGGAAGAATATAGTGTCATTTCAAAAAATTCGAAAACAGATTAGGGATGGATTTAGAGGGTAATAAATATATAAATTTTGTATGGACCTATAATATTTAAAATAAATGAATTTAATACGGACGATATTAAAATATAACGTGGATGAAAGTAATAATTTTTTAAAATTCTAAATAAATAAATAAATATATATATATATATATATATATAGAGTGTGATAGATATATAATAATAGTGGATGTAAATAACAACTCCCTTTTGTTTTCCTACCGAAAGCTAGCATGAAGAGTTAGGCAGACAGTTGCTCCGAAAAAAAAATGATTTTTTTCTTCATATCTCTATATGTGGTACGAATAATTATAATCTAATCAACAAATTGATATTCTAAAAGATGTCTTATTTTGAAGGAAACACCACAAAGAAAATAAATAGCCTTATTCCTGTTCAATTCACCATGTAAAAAAAAAAAAAAAAAAAAATCCTCCCTTTTTTTTTATTTTTATTTGAAAAAAATCATTATAAAATAGTATAGAGACTTCTAAAATAAGCATAAAATATGTTTTTCGAAAGATTTATTTATTTTATTTTTTTTAAAGATAATTCACATCTTTCTGCATATGAATTCTCATAGTTCCTTTTAGTTTTAGTATTTATTTATTTATTCCCTTTCCTTTTTCATTTTTTAAATATTTTACCACGATAATATTGTTATGCCTCATCAAACGAGGTCCTTATTATTGATGACGTGATAGTTAGCTAGAAAATAATATGAAATCACCTAAGGCTAGCACTCCACATCTCTTTACAAATTTGACCTAATCAACACCATCAACAAAAGAAGTCGAAGTGAGCTAAACGTCCCAATCATAGCGACATGTGGAGGTCAAACCTCCATGTCCGAGGCGAGGCGGTGCCATAATCTGTTGCTACATATTTTCGAAGTGATGAACCTTCATTTTGCAAGACATCTTCTATAGCTTTGCTTCATCGGAAAGATTTTTCATAAAAGATCATTTGTACGATTGATTAATTTAACATCTTTGCAACAAACACCTCTCAATTAACTTTTCTAATGTCAAGAATAAGCTATAGAGTGGTAGATTTTGAAAATTATTTAATGCCATCTCAACCTAGGAAGATAAAGGTGACGTCTATAAGATTGACGCGTTAACCACCTCTATTATAAAAGCTCACACCAGTGTCATTCATAGGTCATATTAATTTACACTTCGAACAGTGACTTAGCTTGGTAATATTTCACTCTTCAAACCTAGTTGTTCTATGTATACTTGTAGCTCAAATACACTATAAATTGACTTACGATCACATCTGAGTGCTCACGTTTGTCTCACCCACTCTTATTGAAGGTCACATGCACCTAACAGTTTATCCAAGTTCATAGAAGCTTAACACATGAACGAGAGTGAAACCGAAATCTATTGATCATGTCGTTCTATCGAAAATCGAGGACAACAATAGCTCTTGTTTGATTTTCATCTATTTTTTTTCACCACACATTTTTCAATAATATAATATTGCACGTAAACACAAAACTTTTTCCTTATTTTTTAAGCATAAATTACCTATTAATCTACTATTTTAAAAGGTATTCTTACAACAAACTCAATCAGGCTCTTAATTTCTAAATATGAACCCGTGGTGAAATAGCAGAACCAAAATGTGTATTGGTCCTCGTAAAAACTAGTTACGAGAAAGAATAATACTCTCAGCATCAATGATGCTAAAGTACCAATTTAAGTAACTATATTTTATAGATTTAATTAAATGAGTCAAGTGATTTACATTTATATGAATCCATCTAATGTCACATAATTTCCACTTTAATGATGAATATCCCAGAAACTGCAAAACCGGACATATTGTTATTTGTTTTTCAACTACTGCTGATGATTAGAATAAGCTACAGATAAGTACACCCAACCAGCTATATACTCAGATAGAGAGAGGTAGAGATATATAATTTCCTCTATATATAATAATTTATTGATAGAACAAAGGACCTGAGTCAAACCCTAGCCCGTACCGGCCCAATCTGTGAAGGTACTCTTACTCTCTCCTTCAAAATTTTCAGCACAAAATCTGAAATAGAAGTTTGAATAACTGCGATTCATCTGTTAACAATTGGATAATAATTAGCAAGCAATTTAAAAAGTGATTTCATCTAGATCTCCGTTCAATTTGCAATTTCCTTAACTGGGTTTTTTTATTGTTTGTGTAAATTATTTACGTTTTAGTAGTTCACAGATCAGGGTTTTCGGATATTGATTAGGGTTTACTGAAAGAGGAAAAACACTGAATTACTATTTTGGCTTTAAGTTAAATAGATATTGTGGTTTAAGAGTTATTTTGGTTGTTTGTTGAACAGACCGAGAGATACAAGTAAGTAGAAATTGTTGTTTAATTATTTTTCCTTCTCGAAAAGAGAGATTTTTGTTGAAGAAAAAAGGCATGGGGAACAGATGGCGGACAGGAAATATGGTGATGAACCCAATTTTATCATCATCATCATCAGCTCCATTTCTTCACCTTGGAAGCACTGCAGAGGATAAAAATGCTGTCATGAATCCCCTTGGACTGCTTAGAAGGGAGCAAATATTTATGGATACAACCACCATCAATCCGTCAAATAGCATTGGAAGCAATGTCAATCCAAATCTTAACCAAAATTTTGAAGATGGAGAGCATCGAAAAAATGAGCACGAAGTCGAAGACGAGAAGCCACCTGGAGATCCCGAGATTTTGGAGCCCGCTACCTCAGGACGTCGGCCAAGAGGCAGACCACCTGGCTCGAAAAACAAGCCAAAGTCTCCAATTGTGATAACAAAAGAAAGTCCTAATGCTCTACATAGCCATGTGTTGGAAATCAGTAGTGGCAGTGACATTGCAGAAAGCATTGCCACTTATGCACAGCGGCGTCACTGCGGTGTTTCGGTTTTGAGTGGCAATGGAGTTGTAACCAATGTGACCTTACGTCAACCAGCTGCTCCGGGAGGGGTGATAGCCCTCCATGGCAAATTTGAGATACTTTCATTATCGGGTGCATTCTTGCCAACACCATCGCTGTCAGCAGCCACTGGACTTTCTGTGTACTTGGCTGGTAGTCAGGGGCAGGTACTGGGTGGCACCGTGGTGGGTGCATTGGAGGCATCAGGACCAGTAATGGTGGTTGTTGCCACATTTACCAATGCAACATATGAAAGGTTGCCTTTAGAAGAGGAGCAGGCTAGTGAAGAAATCCAAGTACAGCCCGAGTCAAGAGTGAACACGGGAAACAGTGGTGCTTTGGGGTTCCAATCTCATTGTTTGCCGACTGATGCCCCGTCGTTGTTTGCAGGTTTATATAATCTACCGCCGGATTTGCTGCCCGTCAACGGTCAAATGCCACCCAATGGCTTTTGGACGGCTCCTCCACGGCCTCCACCTTCGTATTGAGGCCGCAGACAGGTGGGGAAGTGAGATGAATTACTAAACCTTGTTAGTACGAATGTTTGGTGGGAAGAATAAAATAGGACTCGACTCTATTATGGATGAAAAAGAACTTAAGATCTTGTTAATTATAATATCTATTTTGTCCACCCGAAGATTTGCAAGTAAAAGACTTAAAAAGATGATCCGGGGCTTAGGACTGATGCAGAATCAAAGGAATATGTTAAAAGTGTTCAGAACACAACTAATAGTTAAGGATGGCAGCAAGCTGTATAGAGTAGTGACCAGATTACCATACTGTATATGGAAGAGGACCAGCTCTGCATGAACCTATCTTGTAAGTTCTTTGAAGGCATAGGAATCGAGAAGGAACAGTTAGGCTTTCTTGAACATTTTGTATTCCCTGTAAATAATTTCTGGTATAGATTTTCATCGATCTTCATGTTTTGTATCTCTATGAATAATCCAACAATGGAGCAGCTGAAATCAATTTATGGAATAAGGGAACACCTTTGTCAATTGGTATGTAATACTTTGATTTTACTTTCCTTATTTGAATTATGAAAATTGCATATTTATGAGGCTTTGGGAAATATTAGCTTGAAATATTATGCTGGATGGTTTAGATTTTATGCTATGTTTTATATGTTAGGTGATTAAGATTTAATGCTGGTTCATCTGCATTTTCCGGAAATCGATTATTTGTACTGAAATTGGTTGAGAAGTTAATTATTTAGAGCATATTTGGTCCGTTGGATTGGATTGCATAATAAACAAATATTTTCACATACGTTTCTTCTTTGATCTTCATTTGATTTTGTTCAAACATGCCATTAGAGTCCCTTGATTTCAGTGTATGCCTCCACCTTATTGTAATTCTTCGATTCCCGAGTTTAGTGGCCTTCTTGCAACTTTTTATTGGAAAAATTCGTTCAATTTGATTTAGAAGCATTGGTTCAAGACCTGGCCCATTCCTCCCAATAATTAAGTAAATTTACACTCGTAGTATTGTAGCATCTGTATATCATATTGGGAGGCCTCTTCCACAACATTTATGGCAATAATGGTGGGGAATGAGCAACCTTCTTATGTTTTAATGATACCACTTTGGATTTTATGGGCTCCTAGCAATAGCTTTGTCATTTATTTACTTGCGTTACGACAGTTTTGAAGTTTAATTACACTCCACTTTATTAGACTTGTCAACTCATGACAACGCATTCATTTGTACGCGGATAGGTTTCTTCTAGTGGTAGTGGTAGGTTAATTTGTGCAACGAAGTCTTGTCGAGTTGACAGTCACTGTACGCAATCCCAAGTTGTGGAAATAGTTAAGCCATGATAAAGAAAAATGTTTCTTTTCTTACTTGTAAACAAATACAAGGATGACACCCTATATGTTTTGGTATAATTAGTCAAACTTTGGATACCCTAGTGGTTGAATGAGGCCCTTAATTTTCATTCAATTTGGTCAGATCAATTGAGTTTAGTGTGAAAGTGAAATGATGAACAAGAAATGGTGCACGTTTGGCCAATTATGAAAAAGCTTTAACTTACACATTTGGAAACAAAAATCTAACTGAAAGTTTAGTCTTTTACCAAATATGCTTGTAGGGAAAAGAGCAATGGCATTACTTTATGTTGTATCTACATTCTAAACATATTGTTTTAATGGTATATTTCTAACTCTGACACGCGTTGCTTCATGTTTGGATCATTAATTAGGGGTACCGTTATTTCCATCCACATTTTTTATATATACATCCACTTTTAAAAATAAATTTTTATTATAGTTTAAATCCTATGCAAATTTACTTAAATAAACATAAATAGAATTAATAAAAATACATAACTCTAAATTGATCCACTAATTTTTATTTTCATTAAATTATCCTAAATCATATTTATTCTTATAGAATTTGTGTTTAAATACAATCCTCTATTATCAATTAAAAGAACATCATCTAAACTTGTAAGAAGTCATGCTAAACCACCCAACAAGATGGTGGCTTCTGCACTCTAAATCTAACAAAAAGGAATCTAAAACTTGAATCTTTTAATAGACGTTCCATCAAATCAATCAAGAACTATGTTACTAATCTATACACAAATCTTTGACTCATCATTTTCCTAGAAGAAAATAAATTCTACTTCAGCAATATCATAAAATACTGCAACAATATAGGGCAAATCAATAATAGAAAGAGGGTTCTAAACATAAGTTTTAAATTCATAAGTGGCACATTTCAGTAAGAAATGGAAAGAAAATAATAGCAAAATCAGTACAAAAGCATACTTGGGGGAAAATATATTCAAACAAACAATATTAACGATATTCAGCTATATTAAGGGGAAAAAGGATATTACTTCATCCCTGATAAATACTTAATAGATAAATATGAAAAAATCTAGGGAAAAGATGACGACACTTCATCCCTGATAAATACTTAGCCTCCATTTAGTACTCATTTTTTTCAAAATGCATTTTTTTCCCTCTTCTTTTCAACCACGCATTTTTCATTAAAATAATATTACACGTAAATAAAAAAAATTTCCTTATTTTTCAACTACACATTTCCCATCAATTTACTATTCCAAAATGCATTTTTACATAAAAATGGCTCCTAAACATCCTGTTAATAGATAAATATGAAAAAATCTTTCAAGCAAACAACCTGAAATATGAATAAAGCTAGGGAAGAGATGATTGAAGCAAACCAATTATAGTCTAAACACGATGAGTTCCAAATATTACTTGGTATACTTTCTCTAGGGACAACCCTCCTCCTAATTTGGACGTTGATTTATGATGGTTTGCCTTTGATGAATTGAGTTTTATGAATAAGAATGATAAAATTTCTAATAAAAATTGTTAACATGGTTAGCTGAATAATATATGTTAATTTGATGTTCAATAAATTCAACTTTGTTATTGTTTCATTTATTTTGTTTAAAAGAGTTTATGGATTTAGGGATTGTGTGAATCTATAGTGTTAGGGATGTATTTAAAATGGGACGAATATATAAAATTCATGTGGACATATAGTATTTAAATGAATGAATTTAACAAGGACAATATTAGAATATAACGTGGATGCAAATAATATTTTTTTTTAAAAATTTAAAATTTTATTAGGAATGAACTTAGAGTGAGATGTACATATAAAAAATGTAGATGGAAATAGCGATACCCTTAATTAGTATCTAAGAAAATTTATAAATAGAGAAAATATTAAAGATATCTGGACACTTTATAACAGTTGAAGATACCTTAAAAAATAATAATAAAATAAACTCGTTAAACCCTATATCTATGGACTCCATCCCAAACGGATTTAGGATTCTTTGCTTAATAGGGTACAGAGGAGCCGGGGCAGTGCGGGGTCATTTTGATGGGCCGGCTGGTATAGTCCACTTCCCATTTAAAGTCAATTTCAAATTTAAATTTTTTAACACACAAAAAGAAAATAGTCATCATCATTTCTAAAAGGAACACATGTTCTTCTACAAAAAAAAAAAAAAAAAAAAAAAAAAAAAAAAAAAAAAAAAAGGTAATGATTTTCACTAATTGAAAATATGAAAAAAATAAAAATAAATTGAATGCTAAACCCGTGCCCGCCCATCTTTAACCCAATATGAGTCGAGGAAAAGTGACAATAATACCCGACAAAATGGGGGTGAAAATGGCTACTCCTATCCTGTTGCCATCCTTAAGACACCTATCAGTTTTTTTTTAATTTCTAGTTTTGAGTATCTCATGCATCTCCTAAAACCATTTCGAGCCCCGTATACTTTCACGCGCCACCCATGGCGAGCCTCGAGGTCCCATTCCCTAAGGCAACTTTCTCCCCATTCTTAGGTTGACGAGTCCGAAACAATCATCATTAAGACACATCTTTCCATTAAGGTCGCATAGTGCTTATATTTTGGCATATCGAGAAGATAGCCCCCTCATAATATCTAAAAGATCTCGCCTGCTCTTCTTGCATTGATTCTACTGCATCTTTCACTTGAAATTTGCTATCCTCTTTATTTGTGGTAGAATGTTTTGTAGGATTCAGTTTTAAATGTGTTTCTTGAAAAGCTTCTTCGTACTCCACTGTCTACGGGAACTTCTTTCCAAAGTATTGTGCATGTGGCATCCACAAGCAAAGAATGTGTAAAGTGATAAATGTGAAATGTCTCTAGCCAAAATGGAGGTAGATGATAAGGACATAGTTTTTGGGCAGAGCTTGTAGAGCAAGATGGGGCAAGGTTTTGAGGTGATGGAGATGTCCGAGTACTGGAAGAGCTGGCGAAGGTCAGATATATATGATTTAAACATTATCCTCAACATGGAAGAACCATTTAAGGGAAGGATAAATTGGGAAAGTGAAAGTTCATACCTGCCATCATGTCTACAAAAGTTAACAATGAAATGTGTTTTTCTCTCCCCTCAACATATTCTTCAATATTTCAACTTTAAAGGCAACTTCAGATCCATTTCCTTTCTTTTGTGGAGATGAAACTCACGTTATCAATGAACCTACAATCCTATTTGAAGATGTGACTAGGCCAAACACAATGATAAAGGTAATAACATGTTTGTTCTTTCCACCTTTCTAAAGAGTAATACGTTGATGGACGGTAAACAAACAAGTTTGATTTTGGCATACTATGTGACATTTCTCATCATATGTGTTGTCTTGACAATTGTTAGATGTCAATCTAATATGTTTTCTTCTGTGAAGATTAGATATATACTCTTAAACTAAAAAATGTGACAAGCATTCATTTTCCTTCTGGCCATATCCGCTTGAGGCAAACCTCAAACAAATCTTGTCGACTCCCGATATGTACTGTACTCAATTCTCCTTCAAAGTATCATCTCTACATCAAACTTTAGCAAATTGGAAGCATCACTTCATACTTCAGAGCATCAACTCTACATCAAACTTCAGCAAATTTCAATAATCACTTCATTACTTCAGAGCATCAGCATTCATCAAACTTCAACAAATTGGTAAAAGTCTGATACAACAACAACTCAATTGGGCAAACATTACTCTCAGAGCTATAGAAAGTTGGGGTTCGAACCTACGTGATGATGTCTCTTAGCTAAAGGCTGTTAAAATTCGGCCCATAGCTTTGATAAGTATTTACATGAGTTCCTTTTCCTCTTGCATCCAAGATGAATGCATGTTATCAAATCCTAAAAGAGTATCATCCAAAGAACTAAGTAGTATTATTTTTTTAATAAAAAAATCATTCTCAATTTCTATTATAACAAGATGAGTGTAGGGTTAATGCGATGATCATTATGAGTAATGTCTACCCCACCAATGGACGAGGGCTTCAATTCGACATCAAATTCTCAGTCTCTCAACCAACATTTTATCCCAGATGGAAAAACTTGGGTAGAAGATTAGAATTAAATGACACATGAATTCATGACTAACATGGTAAATGTTTATTAGAAACAATCAAGGCTTATATATATGAAATATTTTAGTTAAGTAAGTATTCTTTATTTTGTGCGGAATCCACTTAGAGTTAGAGATTTAACGAGCTAAGTTGAGTTGAGCTGGCTCGTTAG